GGGCATGTTACCTTCCACCTTCTTCACGAGATTGTTGTGCAATAATGCATTAGAGAGTTTAGCACAGTGATCCAAAAATCCTAAGTGCTCAACATATTTTAGTTCCATTTCGTCCCCTCCTGACACACGTTGGAAAGCTCTCAGTGTTCTTCCTCAGAGCTTGTATGTAGCTTAGCAAATGAAGGAGCTGTAGGCATAAGTCATTACCTATATCTTGCCTATATGCATTTAAACTAGGTTATTTTCCTCCAGCTTCTTAGTTAAAAAGAATGGCTTTTGAATGTGTTTGAATAGATTTAATTTTTCTTTTCGTCTTTCTCTTTCTGAGAATTATAACTAATAGTCACAAACTGGACAGCAGAGAGTGAGAGTCGCTGAGCCAAAAGAAAGGAGAGTTTCTAGCCAGTTAAATTCTGCAGCTCTTGTGCAGAAAAACAGACCGGGTCTGAGGTTTGAGAAACCAACTCTGAGTTTCCAGGGCCCACACCTGTCTTATGTCCAAAGCTGCCTTCCCTTCCCACCCTGCAGGCCAGTCTTCTCCTTCCGGGGATGGATTAGGTGGAATCCAACACTGCTCAACAGTTTTGCAAACAATTTTGATTTTTTTTAAAGGAATCTTTTTCCAGTGAAACTATTTCCTTGACTCATTTTGCCCTGTATGACCATTTCCAAGGTCCTGTGGCAGTACATCTGAAAAACAAATGAGGATTCTCTTAAACCAATTCATAGCCATAACTTTTGGCTGCTAAAGTGACATTCCCAAGCCAAAGTAGCAGTGACACTGTTTATAATTTTTCCTTCACTATATTTCCTTTCCTGTTTTCACAGTAATGAGAGCTGCCATCCAGAAGAAATCAGGGCCTTTGGTACTGCATAGCCCTGTCACCTGTGAATGGGGGGCAGTGAAGACCTAGAGACGCATGGCCTGGGCCCTGTGAAGTCAAGTCCTTTCACCAAGTAAAAAGGTCAGCAAAAAAGTATTTCCACATAGTGTATTGCAGAATCCTTGCACCCATCCTCTTTTATTGGAAATTAATTGCATTTATTAACCAAGGCAATTAACTAATTAATTACTTGGAGACAGGACTGGTGTGCTGCTGAGGGGAAAAAATGTGCACTGCATCTTTTAGATGAAACAGACATATCAGCTCACCGTCTTAAAGTCTCAGTTATGCAGTCTTTCAAAATTGCAAATGAAATCTCATTATGCTTGATATTTTGCCATTGAAATTTAACTTGTGGGCCATGAATGCCTGTAATCCTAGCACTCTGGGAGGCCAAGGAGGGTGGATTGCCTGCTCAGGGGTTTGAGACCAGCCCCAGCAAAAGAAGACCCTGTATCTGATAAGAGAAAAATAGAAAAATTGAGGGAGAAGGATCAATCACTTGAGCCCAAGAATTTGAGGTTACCATGAGCTATGATGTCAAAGCACCCCAACCAGGGCAACAGAGTAAGACTCTGTCAAAAAAAAAAAAGAAAGAAAGAAAGAAAGAAGGAATAAAGGAAGGGAGGGAAGCAAGAAAGAAAAAGAAAGAAAGAGAGAAAGAAAGAGGGAGAGAAAGAGAGAGAAATTTAACTTCTATGTGGGTTCTTATAGATACAAAATATAGAGATCAGGATTTTGGTAGGAAACTGGATACTGAAATCCTATTTAAAAAAAAAAGCAATCTAAAATGTAGACTAGCCAAATAAAATGTTTATGATGCAATATTAAAATTCAAGAATGCATAGCAATAGTTGAAATAAATTGAGGCTTTAGACTGTATTTGCTACAACACAAAATGAAACTTCATAACAAGATTATGAAAGTGATTTTTATTATTTTGGTAATGCTGTTCAGTATGTGTAATCAGAAACAGATCTGTCATAAACTTGGTATATCAAACAGTAAAAGCTACATCTTAATGCTAATTCCCCAGAATTTATTTCAATGACAACTATGTAATATAACCACTACTATGTATACACTCCAAGCGTACGTGATAAAGCACAAAAAGAATAAGCAGCTGTCCTTGAGTTACAAACATCTATTAAAGTATACCTTTTTTTAATCACACAGTTGTATCACAGCTAAAAACATACAAATTAATATATACTGCTATGCAACTATTTGATCTAATATACATCTAGTATGAAAATATTAAGGCCATAGGAACATTTCACAGGTAAAGGCTAAGTTCTGGAACAGGAACGTTGTTTAGACAAACCTCAAAACAAACCTGAGACATCCTTTTGTTTTGGAAAAAAAAGCAACTTCTCTTACAGAGTCAAAGCTTTGCCATGCAAATGAGGCATTTATAAACAAAATAACTGCAATAAAAGTTGCAACAAACTGGACTACGGGTGTTGACTTGAATGGCTGTCAGTAAGTGCCCTCTCTGGTAGAAATCCACTGAGATTTTCTGATTAAGCCAATAATCTACTTTTTGTCGCCTCCCAATTAAGTTATCTTTGTTCCTTTTGGATTTTGTTTTCCTTCTTTAATTCCGTTATAAACCTATCAGTAAGCCAGGTAACCTCCAAGCACATACCTTCCTTTCTGTTCTATAAGCACTGCTTTCTCTTTGCCACAAGCGTCAGATGACGACTGAGCTCACATCCAGGAAAATGGATTATCGCACATCTGGACCTGGTTGACTTAATGAGGCATCCAGATTGGTACGTGATTATTTTTGCTGTTACACATCTAAAGAAATAGGCTGCGGCAGCCCTAAATCACTGTCTCAGCCCTGCTGGGTCTAGTGTTGTGGAACGGCCAGGGACAAAAAAATCTAAATGTATTGGGCAAGCCTATAGTTGACGTTAATATCTTTAAAAAATATTGACACAAACGGTTTCATACTCAAGAAGAACAGCTATAAACTTTTAAAATAAAAATTACGTGAGTTTTATCATAAAATATTCCAAACTACAAAACAGATCTGCTATTAGATTTTTAAGAATAGACTATTTAAGATTTAATACTGCTGTATCAAACATCTTTCTTTGAAATGTTTAATTGTTTCAAATTTTGTGCTCCAAATTAATCCATTTGCAATGAGTGGGGAAATGTTTGACCATCTTTCCCCCTCTTACCACCACCCCCAGCCATCATAAATAGCTTTCTTGGTAATTTTGATAGAAAGAGTCCAAAAACTTAATGAAATTTAACGAGCAAGCTCTTACACTGTAGAACTTCCTTCAGAAGTTGAATCGCAGTGAAAATTGAAACTTACAACTTCACTTTGTACTTTTGCAATCTTCTGTCCCTTTGTAAAGGTTTTCAGGTTATTTACATAAACCAAAGGCAAGCACTTTGTTAGAGCTTTAGGCTTTCCCAGCTACTAATATAACTGCTCACAGGGTTGGCCATCTTAAAGCAACTGGTCTGATCAGCTCCTCTTCTTTCAATGTGATTCTTAAAACGGCTTCCCAAAACTATTTTCTGATTTTAACTTTCAAAAAAGCAGACATAAATGCTACCGTTTAAAAAATCACTGAAGGAGAAACTAGATCAGTTCTAATGGGAGTTTCCCCCTTGTTACCTAGTGAAGAGAAGGTCCAGATAAATCACGGCTTTTGTCTTCGGCAGACACTGGTTAGAGTTCTCCGCTTTCCAAAGGGTAAGGGTGGTTCTCACTAACTCCAACTGCAACTCAATAATCAGAATGGCTTTGAAATGAAATTTAAATTTAAGCATGCCAAGAGTTAAATTTTAACATTAATTAAACCAGTTTCAAAAAGACATTCTGTATTATGAATACGATTTTAATTTAAAAAGTTATAAATTAAAAACACATCTTTGGATCTGATTTTGAGATTTGTCAGTTCTTGCCCAAGTTTTGGATGAAAAAAAAAAAAGACCTCACTTGCTTTCCATGTGCCAAAAATAGGGTGTTGATTTAATCAAGCTCATTTAATGTTTTTTTAGTCGCATTTAATTTGAGCCACACTTAGTTGAATTGGTTGTACTTTTCAATTTGCAATATTGTGCAAGACATATTATTCAACCTTTTCCTTAACAAAATAATACTAACATACTGCTTATAGATGATTATGTAATATATATTATATACGTGTATATATAGAGAGAGAATACTACTTGATAACTTCCCTTTAACTTATGAGACGTACTAAAATCACAGTATATTACAATCACATAATTTAAAGTTTAGCTGGAAATCTGGGGGTTTCATTTTTGTTTATTTGTAGGTTTCTTGGTCGTCATTGAAAAATTGTACTTTGGCAACCAAAAGAGGTACGATTTCAGCTTGCAATTTTACAATATAACAATTCATACTTCAAAATTCATGAGAAATCACTGAAACCCACCATCATCACTAATTCAACTATTAATTTCTTTTTAAGTAACTGACCTTAGAAATTGTCCTAAAAAGTAAGGAATTATATCAGAAGCAAAAGGATAAAGCCACTCATAAATACTAGTCTGTCTAAGCTATTTTACTGAAAAGGTGAGAAGGGATTATGGGCTGGTCTTTCTCTTTTCTGCTTCACATCCTCAATACATATGTTACACTGAAATTACTTGCCTTTGTATCTTCAACAATATACTCCAAAACTTTGCTTACCGCAGTTTTCTATGGAGTAAATTTCTGTATGTGGAAAATCTGGAAAGGTATTTCATTTATTGAAACATCTCTTCATTAGAAAGCGTGTGTGTGTGTGTGTGTGTGTGTGTGTGTGTGGGTGTGTGTGTGTATGCATGTGTGTTTTAACTCCAAAGAAGGCTACCTTAAGAAATTATTATTAGCAGGCTCCAGTATATGTATAAAAATTCCTTGGACCCTTTAATTCTTGGACTCAAAACTCTTGCAGGCGCTGGTGCACAGCCCAGTCCTCAGGAGGAGCTACACAGCATGAAGCACACCTCTCCTGTGGGGTTTATGCTCACCTTGTAGCCTGAGAGGCGTCAGAGAACAGGAGCTAGAAAAAACCGGAATTTTACTCCCCATCCCCCAGAACTTGAGTAGTTCTAAAATTTCAGCTTGCCTCTGGCTTCTCACTGGCAAACTTCCTCGGCTTGTAACTTTTGGACAGCGCCATCAAGGAGCTCCATGGACCCTCTGAGAGTGATGTTGATTTTAAATGACTTGGGTTTAATGCTCAGTCCATAAGTAAAATTCATCGTCAAGGGCTCCTTTGGGTTGGCCCTGAAATTGCACTGGTGAGTGAGGATGGAGGTGAAGAGAAACAACTGCATCTTAGAAAGCTCTTCACCAATGCACCGCCGTCTGCCCGCCGAAAAAATCATCACACTGCTGGTCAGATCCTTGTTGATGAAGCCGTCCTTGTCCAAGAATCGCGTTGGATCAAAGTCTTCTGGGTTAAGCCATTTCCCTGGGTCATGATTCACAGACCACTGGTTAACGAAAACCACTGTGTCTTTGGGGATGTGGTAGCCCAAGATAGAAGTGCTGGCAGTGGTGGCATGAGGAATGGTGACAGGCACAAAGCTGGAGAAGCGCATGGCTTCGTAAAGAAAGGCCATGACGTAGGGCAGGTTGGGCTGGTCAGCCATACAGGGCAGACGGTCCCTCCCCACAACCTGATCCAGTTCTGCCTGCACTCGAGCCTGCACATCAGGGTACCTGTTTGGTTTTTAAAGCACAGGAAGAAGAAGAAGTGAGCAAAATTAATTTTTCTTTCATCTAGAAAGTACATTACAATTTATTTTAATTTTACTTTTCTTTAAACAGGGTGTGTAGGTCAGTGCCTGAATTAGTATTTCTGGCAAAAAAAAAAAAAATCTGAAACTGTTTCCTAATTTCTCACTAAATTATAAGACAGACTTGAGTAATTATATTTCCTGTAATAAGCCTTGCACGGCTAAAGCTCTCTCTCTCATTATGAGGCGAAAAAACTCTAAATTTTCTCAGTCTAAAAAAGCACAGTAATGGACAAGGCTGATTTATCCATTGTGTACTACAGAGGCAAGGGCCCACAGTACTTTTTAGGGCCCACAGTACTTTTTAGGGGACCAGGAAAATAGTTTCATGTCTTTTACAATTTTCAGACCTAAAAAAAATGATCTTTAAGGTAGAAGAACCTGTTTCATACATCATTTTAACCTATGAATCTTTTGTCATAAAATATACTTTTAACTTTTGTTGTGGAGTAAGGAGTCTACAAAGGCAAAGCACCTGAGACCCACACAAATTAAAATGTGGCTCTTAAAGCAGATTTTTAAAATGGTTCCCCTCATTTATGTGGATAATTCCAACAGATATGCTGTTCTCATTCTATATAAAGATGACTGGTATCCTCATGGATAAAGCTACGGACTTCATTTTCTAAATTTAAAAGCAAATCCGCAATGTTCATAAGATTATGGTGCTAATTATAATACACTGTTGATTACATCAACTGGTGCAATCATTTTGGGAAACAAAATCTTAGCACAACACAACATCCACAGGGTAACCCCTCCCCCCTCATTTTAAAACCAGTAACCATGCCTAGAGATGAATTGTTAGGGAACAATCTCACAGGTACAAAAATATGCAACTACAACACTAGCTAAATTGTAAAAGTGCCTTCAAGAAATGATTATGGGACCCAAAGCTCAAGGAATGATTACAACAACAAAAATGATTACAATGATTACAACAATGTATGCAACTTTACATTATTATGGTAAAATTATGTAGTTATCAAAAACTATTCAAATAAATGTTATAAGATAGGGAAATAGCCTCTACAATAATTCACCAAGTGTCAAAAGTCAAAATACATGTCACTAACTCTGAAAAAAAGTGTTGGTGATGAAATTATGGCTGATCTGAAAACCTGCTTCTTCAACACCACATTGCAGGGGTCTGCCAACTTTTTTCATGAAGGATTGTGTGGCCCAAAGCCTCTCTCAAAACGATTCAGTTCTGCCTTGCGGTATAGGGCGTAGTCAGCCAGAGACAATACATAAATGGATGGGCATGGCTGTATTTTGACACATACAAAAACAGGTGAAATTTGCCAAACCCTGTCATATCATCTTTTCACTAAAAAGAAGAAAAAAGTATTTATCAGTGTATAACCCCAGAATGATTTACTTCTGCTATCCAAAAATACAGGGAGTACTATGTACAGTTCAGTGCTAGTGAAAAAGAAAGGTTGTTTCAAAAGATAAAATGCACCTCTGGGGATGAGAAGGACCTATTGAACCCATTCTGGGATGACCTTTTCCCTGATCTGTGGTTAACTTCTCTTTATTTCATTTTAGCCACACACACCCCATACATGTCTTTATGATCTCAACACTGAAAAACTATTTTAAAGATACAAAAAGTTTAATTTGTGAAGATAGCTGTACAGAATTAAGGACATATAGATTGCAGTAGATTTTCATGAGAAAAGGGGTCCCTGCCTTCCAAATACCACAGACTTTGGCGCCTGCAGATCCAACATTTCCAACTGTTATTTGCGCGCCAAGACATGGCACAACCAGGATTTCTGGTCTCTCAGGCAATCAATGATGATTTCCCGTTGGGTGCGCGGTATTTTCCCCTGGGGTATAGTCTCCCAAATAAAATGCAGGCCGCCCAGTTAAATCTGGGTTTCGGATAAACAGCAACTAATCTTTCAGTATAAGTTAAGTCCCGTGTAAAATTTATTTTTAATGTCCTGAGAACCTGGCAACCGGACACCGCGGACCTGTGGAAATCGTGAGCGTTGGAGTTGAACACAGGTCGTCGCCCTCATCAAGATGCGCATTGGATGAGTTGAGGGCAGGGCTCCGGACACCCCGAATGCCTTTCTTGCTGACAAAAGTGCTTTTTTAAATTAAATCGTAGCTGTATACATGAATGCAATCACGGGGTACAAGGTGCTGGTTTTATATACAATTTGAAATGTTTTCATCATAAAAGTGCTTTTTATGCCGACACTTCTCTCACTCCTAGCGCCACCGTTTTATAAATCCAGCACTACCTGCTGGCTTTGGGGCGCCCTCGGAAAGCCTCTGTGTGTGTTATGCGTCTGCAGGACTGACCTCCCGGCTTCCTTTGCCTGGGAACAAAGCCCTGACCGGCATTGAGCTTCCAGTGCCAGGACTAGGCAGCCTCGGATCCGCGCGGGAGACCAGCCACGCCGAGGGTGCGACATTTAATGTATACATGGCGTTCCCCATTCTTTGGTAACCATCCCAATTTTGCTTCCACCGCGCCAGGGAGAGAGAAAGATCACGGGCGATCTGCAAGTACTTTAAAACCTTGGTTTTCAAGGGGGTTCTTACAAATTTTTTCCCACTCGCTGCAGGAGAGAGAGTAGAGACAAGATAGGAGACGTGGGGAGGGAGGTCGGGGCACCGCTGGGTGGGGTGTGAGCGCTAGTCTCTGGGCCCGCACCCCGCGGTCCTGGGTGTTGCTTTCGGGATAAGATCTCAGTTTTAAGGGGTGGCGACTTGGATCGAACCCCCAAGGCTCGATCACTGCTTGGGACCTCAGCATACCCCACTCCCACCCCGCCTTTTTCTAAGGGGAAAAGGAAGACCTGACCCACACCTCCTGGAGGCTTTACCTGACCAAAAGGAGGAGCAGCCACTGCAGCGCCGTAGACAGGGTATCCTGGCTGGCGCCGAAGATGTCGGTGAGAGTGGCGGGCACGTTCTCCAAGTCCAGCTGAGCTCCACCAGCGCCAGAATCCCCGGTCACCTTCTTTTCCGCAGAGAGAATGAAGGCGTCCATCAAGTCCCGAGGAGCGGCCCTGGGCCCAGGGCTTTCCTGGTGCTTCAGGAACTTATCGTAGACGAAGTTGGAGAAGCTGAGGTTGAGCTGCGCGAATTCGCGGAAGGCGGTGCGCACCGGGTTGGGGAAGAGCTGCAACCAAGGCAGCACGTCCACCAGGCTGCCCGCGCCCACTGTGCGCCCAAACTCCTCGTTGTGGCTGAGCAGCTCGCGAAACTCGGCATCGTCGTGGCTGTAGCGACACCCGAAGCACACGGCGCTCATGACGTTGGCCACGGCCACGAGGGTCAACGGCCTCGGATCCAGGAAGGTGCCGCCCGCACTTCCACGCACCAGCAGTGCCACCAGCTCGCGCGCTTCGCCCAGCACGTGGCCCTCAAGGACGCGGCGGCTGTGCGGCTGGCGCGTGGAAAAGGCGCGCATCGTGCCGTGCGCCGCGCGCCGCTGAGTCTTCCAGTACTCTGAGTAACGCCCGAATGCTATACTGCGGCCCCCGGACACCACGCGGAAGGAGGCAAAGGGCGGCCGGTCAGCGAAAACCGCGCCCTGCTGCACCAGAGCCTCGTGGATGGCGCGCTCCCCATTCAGCACTACTATGGGGCAGCTGCCTAGGTGGATCTGGAAGACGTCGCCGTAGCGCTGCGCCAGACGCGCGAAGGAGAGGTGAGCGGCCCTGCCCACCGTCAACACGTTTCCGATCACCGGCCACGCGAAGGGGCCCGGGGGCGCGGACCCCACCTGCTGCCGCCGCTGCCTTAACAGCCACTGGCCCGCATGTACGGCGGCCAGCACCGAGAGGAGCAGCAGGAGTGTGGTCTGCTGGACGGACAGAAGGCTTAGTGGCCAAGGGTCGTTCCCGCAGAGGCTAGTGGCCATGCTGGGGACAGAAAGGTGAAGGTGTGATACAGGTGTGCAGAAGAAGACACAGGCGCCCTACGCTCCTATCCCAGCCCCGGACTACTGTTTGCTGTTGGGTGGAGAGGAGGCCATGCGCAGGTCAGGTCCGGACTGGCTTTCCGCAGAAGTAGCCAAAGACGCCCCTTTTCATCCCCAGCCCAGTGTCCTGTGAAGGAAAGAAGGGGTGTGTTTCCGCCTCTCCGTGACCCAGCGCCAACCCCGCCCCCCACCAGACGAGTAACGGTTCCTGTAATTTGGGGCCAGCACCCGGGCATCAAGGCGGTGGCTACTGGTTTCCTTTAAAGTGCCTACCACCCCACCCCGGACCTGCAGGAACGGTCTGAAGAGGCCGCGGGAAGGCGGCTCAGCCGACAGACTAACCTTCCCGGACGCGCGGTTTCCAGCGGCGCGAACAGAGGATCCCGAAAAGGGGTCTTTACGGAGCACGAGACGACAGCTCGAATATCTCCAGGAACCCTGGCCACCTGCTGCCCGCTCTGGGAGCTTTAGCACCTATTCTGAAGTCTCTTGGCGTCCTCAGAGTCAGAAGCGCTTGAATTGGGATGGGGACAGGGAAAAGGTGCCTCCTTTGCCAAGCCCCGCTGCACCTGAGGCTCTAGCAAAGTGGGCGTTCTCTCACAGCGTTAGGACTGAGACTCGTTTAGACTAGTAGTGTCAATTCCTATGCTCCCCTGAGAGGCTCTCACTCTGCGACGCAGCGGTGTTTGCCCACAAGGCGGAATCTAAATTCGCCATCCCGCTTCTCCGGGTTTTAAGGACTGGAGAAGGAGAAAAAGAGACCTGGGGCGGGGCGGTGCGCGCTGACACTGTCGGACTGCTACTCGCGTCTGGGCGCGCGGGTGGTCTGGCCCCGCGGCAGCGATGCAACCCCACCGCCCGGGAGCTACACCTGCAGCTTTACTGGAAGCGGCGGTGTAAAATTTCCCTCCGTTGAGTAGCCGTTCACAGTCACCCCAAATCGAGACTGCACGATTTCCCCCAGAAATTGGGACAGAACCACTCTAAGCCGCTGCGCTCTGGGTGGGAGCGCGCCTCACGCCCCGAGCCTACGACCTCCCTTCCCTCTGCGCGACCTGAGCTTTGTCCCCCAGGAGAAACGCTCTATAACGATCCGAAGGCACCCGAGTCGGGAAGGGAAACCTGTCTGTTTTAAAAAAAGGAAAACTCAGGTTGTGCTAGTGGTTTGCCTCGCAGCGCCCCTGGTTATTTATTTTTCTTAAGTTCTCGAAAACAAATTGGCCCCTCAGTTGAAGCCCTTTGACGTGGAAATTTTTTTCCACCTAGTGTGGCTAGATCAGGAATCCCTGAAAGCAGCTTCTCCCCAGCCCGGGAGCCCCGACCGTCCTTGGGCACACAAAGGCCTGCGTGCTCTGCGATTTCCCGCGTAGAAGTTACTCCCGGAGGCGCCACCCGCTAGAGGGCCGAGGGACCGTCCTGACCGCGTCCGGAATGGATGGCACCGGGCGTGAAGCCAAGCTGGGGCGAATACCCGAGGCAGGAGACAGGGGGAGGAGAGATCAAGGAGGAGGGACGGGAGCAAGGGCGGAGAGTGGCCAGAGGAGGAAAACAGCCCGCCTGCAAACTTGGTCGGGTTGTAATTTACTCTGCTGTCGCCTCCCCCTTGCGTGCGGAGCTGTGCTTTGCGTGCGCGGCTTCTGGAAAGTCGGCTCCAGTCATACCCTTGGGCGCTCCCCGCGGCACCTGACACGCGGAGGCGGCGGCCGCCACCACCCTCAGCGGCGCACGCACAGCCGAGCCAGCCAGACCAGCGGGTGGACTCTCCGGTCACAACCTGAAGCAGGCTCCCTCCACGCATCGCTACCCCGCCTGGCACCCGCGGCTAGTCGCGTTCCCAGGCACGCGTGCGCTCCAGTAGGGGTCGTCTCCTTCAAAGGAGGAGCCACGGCGCTCTGGCTGGGGCTGAGCCCTTTCCAACAGGCTGGCACATAGTATTTTCAAGATACCTAAAAGAACAAGGTCTTCCCTTCGAGGCCCTGGGGGGTGGGGGGGGCGGGAGGAAGGGGGGGGAACTTGGGGAGAGAAGTGGGATCTATAGTTAAGCAGGTACCAATTGTACCTCAGGGTCTCACAAAGGGTAAATATAAAAATTGTATTTACCACTGACAACCTTATGTTTTGAACTTCGTCAGGACTGTGAATCTCTTGCTATTACTGACCAGTTTACAGATGAGTAAACTGGGGTTCAGAAAGGTTGTGTGACTTAACCCAAGTCACAAAGCAACCAAGAAGTGGAGCCAGAATCTGAACCCATGAAGTCCCACGCCAGATCCCTCACATAAGTTTACTGGGAAGAAAATTTCACATAAGAGGCAAAAAGGCCTTCTTTCTTGCCTGCTTTTAAAAAAAAAAAAAAATTCATTTGGAAAAAAATTTTGGTTTTGTTTTCATAAGTGAGAATTCTGAGGATCATAAAAAAATCATATGCCCACCCTTTGCAATTAAATCAGTTATGAGGAAGGCCCCTAGACGGCTGGCTCACAGCTGACCTTGGAATAGCTGATTACATCATAAATATAAAGTGGTGTCTGAAGAGAGTGGACTTCTTGAGAGATTGAAACTAGCGATAAATTATCAGACCTGATAAGAGAAGGCCTTTATGTAAAAGTCTCTATTCCAGTGGTTCTCAACTTTCCTAATTGCTGCATTGTTACAAATGGGAAAAGGGGGTTGCAACCCACAGGTTGAGAACTGCTACTGTATTCAGTAATGTTTGCAAGGTTCTCTGGGACTGATCTCACACATAGTGAGTACTCAGACCAGTGATGAGGTTAGTTTTTGAGCAACTGCATTGGTTTCCCAGACCGGGGTTGGCCTACAATATATCCTTGAGATGAGTTTTAAATCAATCAACCTTGCAATGTCCAACTGTAGCAAGACCCTTGAGGAACAATTCAGGACTCTATTGTGTGAATCAGTCTCTCCTAGACTTTAATTTCATGGATGAGAATTAGCTATAGGCTCATGCCAATTCTGGGTTGTCACCGTTCTGGAAAGCATTTATCATGGTATCGCTGCCGGAATCAGAGCAGATAGAGGTTGTCTTTAAACCAAATAAGTTCCTATTTTAAAAAGTATAAAATAAGGCTATACCTTCTGTTTGACCCCTCAATAAAGCCATATAGTTTTTAGATCAATTAGATGCACACCTCCTGCTATAGCAAGTACTTTGATACATGTCCTCCAAGCTATGGCTTCTTGAGCTTGGCTGTTTTTCTAGGACCTGCCTCACAAAGCACAGGAGCCAGGAGGGCAAAGCAAATGCTGGTGGAAAGACAGGCTCTTATCAATTCTGACGAATCAGAATGGCTGGCTATGGTAGCTATGGTAACACCTTCTTCTGAATCTTCAGGCCTCAGGTTCTTAGGGTTTTATGATGCCAACCTCATTGGAAAGCCCTTCTGGCACACAGTGAAGACTTTGAATAGATCCAAAGTGGCCTGAGTGTACCCCTGATCCAGCTTAAGGTGTGGCCCCTCTCTTAGTCAGAATCTGTCCTTTAATTGTCATCACAACTTCTAAACCAAAGCTCAGATCTGAGGCCCAAGAATCTCGTTTCAATCAACATAGAATATGGGCATTTTGCCCTCTCAAATCTTAAACTTGAATTGCTTGCTGCAAATAACTTTCAAAAAGAACAGCTAAGCTAGAGGGATAGTTTAAAATAGAGGTTTAAAATGCCTTATATTGTATTGGCTCCAAGGAACAGTTTAAGCTTGTTTCAGCAGGACAGGAATGCACTGGCCCCTGTGGCAGAGAAGGATAACTGTGGTACTTCACAGGGTGAAAGGATCCAGGGCTGCCCTACTTGGTGGTTATCTGTGCCGGTCTTTGCTTTGGCTTTGTTTGGCAATTTCTCTCCCTACCCCCAAGACCCCCAGCAGGGAAGCTGGCCATGGGAAGTTTCAAATTAACAATTTCAAGAGAGAAAGAACATCTCTTTCCCAAGGTCCTAGAAGGAATCTGGTGAGCTAGGCTGGCATCAGATTTTATCCTATGGCCAAGGGCTGGTTCTGTCATAAAAAGAGAAATAGGTGAGTCGTGCGAGGAAGCCAAAGAGCCCCCACCATCCACTGCATGCATACATGTCTGCTCATTACTTTCTTTGGATTAGAAGATAACCCAACCCATCATCATCAGCATTACTATTATTGTCAATAAGCAGGTAGATGCACTGACCCTGGAACCAATAGCCAAGAACCAGTAGCTCTGGCTGTCTGTTATCAGGAAGTCAGCTTTCTCTGTGGTCTCTTTCTCTAGCACGATCCCACGTCAATTCTATGGGCAAGTACTGCACTCTTCCAACCCCCTCCAAGCACAATACAGGCCCACATGCACTGAGCAGAGTGGAATAGAAGCTGGCAAGCCCTTGACATGGGAGTGGCAGGAATCAGTAGTCAGACCCAGGCTGGTAGATGGGAGGAGCAGGAATAAAAAGACATACCAAGTGTCCAAAGTGACTGAGGGAATGACAGGAAGAAGCTGTAGGATAAAGCACGCCATGTGCTAGAAACTGAGGATTCTTAGGAGTTAATGCCAAAATCCTGTGCCGCAATGCAGTACCCTGCATCCTTCCTCCTGGTGATACACAGGCTGAGAGCCACAGAACTCAAAAAGATACTCATATTTTATCCAATCTCAAAAGCCATCATTTGCAGCGTGCATCATTATTTATATACTAATATAGGGCTACCCATCGTAATTGTGCCTTTGATTGCAAGCCAAGTCCTGATTTCAGAGATATTAAAATATAAAGTTAAAGGAGACATATTTTAAAGTTAATGAGACATTATACATAATAACAGAATTTCTCAAATTCTCTGCCTTTGTATTAAGCAGTTTTTGTTTGTTTGTTTTGTTGTTGTTGTTTGAGACAGAGTCTCACTTTGTCACCCTCGGTAGAGTGCTGTGGGCTTACAGCTCACAGCAACCTCCAACTTC